AGGCACACACCACCACTCCCAGTCTTCCTTAATTTCTTCAGTATTGTCAGATGCTGACCTCTTGCCACACAGAAAGGATTCTAGAATGGAACCTCAATTTAATGGGGCCAAAGTGAAAGTTTTCTAACTGAAGAAAATCAGACTCAATTCTACCATCCAGTTAATGGAAGAAGCAGTCTAGAAGGGGCGGCTCCCCTTCGGCGATCCCCTTCTTAACAAGTGCTATTTGTTACAGTGACATATTGTAGTGCCAAACTAAGTCTAGGGAACTGGGTCCTACACAGCACAAAGCAGAGTGGTCTCACCTGCTCAAGCCTCATTCTCTCGTGAGCTACTCTTTTGTATCAGTCTTCCTCCTCACTGTATTGATTTCTACTGAGGACCCCCTTCTCTCTGCTCTCAATCCAAGTTTCCATTTGCCAAAATTTAGTACATGACCCAGCCAGGCCAGTCCATATATTTCAACCAATCAGCCATAGTGGCTGCCTGTCACTGGGATATGACAAATGACACTCTGGGACTGTTGGAGCTCACTGAGAATGACAGAGCTCTTAGCTGTGCCAAAATCAATAGTGGTATGGAGAATGTCCACATTGGAATCTCAGCATTGGAATCCCAAGACTATGAATGAAACCAAAAGCCAGGAAAGCATCATCAAGGTTCTTCTGATGGAGGCAAGGATCAAGTCTGGCATGTGGTAGTTAGGGTCTTAGTTTAGAACATGATCTTTGAAATCAGCCTGACGTGAGGAAATACTAAGCTGACTATGACCTTGGGTGTCCCCATTATTGTGGGAGTGGGGTCATTACTGTAGGAGAAGTTTTCTTCCAAAAGGAGCATAGGTCAGTCTTCTTTGTCCTTCTAAACCTGTATGTGCCCTCTACCCATGGATAACACAGCAAGAATGTAGCCACATGTTGCCAGCCCCTTAATCTGGGACTTCCTGCCCTCCAGAAGAGCTAGGAAATAGTTTGGTTCTTTATAAATTACTCAGTCTAAGGTAATAACACTACAAATGGACCAAGAAAACAGTGGCACTTTTATTTGATCCTAACTGAAGGATTAAATGTAATAGCATATATAAAAAGCTTAGACCACAACCTGACACATATTGATTGATCAATAAATGTTAGGTACTTTTAACACATACGTTTTATCTATGGGCTTGGAGTTATATGTAGTAATTTTCTTTTTTAATGTATTTAGTAGAGTCTACAGGGTCTCACTACACAGATTGGACTCATAGTGATGCTTCCTCTTTTTCAGCTTCCCAAGCGCTGGGATTACAGGTGCGTGCTACCATTCCCAGTCTCAGTCGCTCTCTCAGCATACTCTGGGGGTGGGGCTGGCAATGCATTTCAGGGATTGAACCCCAGTTCCTGAGCCTGCCTACGAAGGTGCTGTAGTCCACTGAGCTATCTGGCCAGCCCTCTTTTTTTTCTTAACTTGGTTTGAGTTTGTCTTCTTTCACTTGTAGCCAGAGTCTTGTCTAATATAATACAATGCAGAAAACCCAGGGTGTGTAGGTTTAGCACAGGCCTAATCTCCTTCTTTGTGTCTAAGTAGACAGGACGGGTTGAACCAACTGAACACGAACCATCTGGGGCTTCTAACTTGAGGTCTATCAGTGATTTTATCTGTGGCCTCTGGGGTCTCCACCTCCTGGTTACGAAAGTAAGTTTTCTTCCTTGGCATCATATTTGTTCATGCAAGTCCTCCTTCTGCTATGTTACCTGTTAATACTATGCAGAGTTACTTTTAAAGTCCACAAAAATACAAAATGTAAAAAATTAAACTTAAAGATGGAGACAGAAATGAATAAAATATTTCTGTATTAAAATATACATTCAGTTCCTTTTTATTTAAGGCTTAAGCTGGAAACTTTTTAATAACAGTTTAGAGTAAATACTATTATTATCAAGCAGCCTACATGCTAAATAGCATACTTTTTGTGGTGTAGATTTCTGGAGGGATATGCAGGGGATTTGCATGCTTAATTCCCATTAGCACCTGTCACTGGGATTTATCATCCCAGAGTTAATTCTCCACTGTCTGCAGCCAAGAAAAAGGAAACCCTTGTATATGGATTTAAACGAAGGCTTTCATTTTTCAAAATGAAATGAATTTCACATCAGTTTCTTAAACACCTGAAATACTGCAACCTTAAAAATTCATATTTGGGTATATTTTTGGTGAAAATTTGTCCAAGTTTGCCCTTATTCTGTATCCAGAAGAGCCCACCCATAATTTGAAAATGTACTGGTGCGAGACAGTAGTGATCCAGCACTTGGATCAGTTTTAGAATCCATTGGCCCTTAGCACTGCTTAATACTGATAAATGTTTACTGACCATCTATAATGGGCTGAGCTGTGTTCTAGATTTTGGTACAGAGTGTTGAACATGCTGAAAACAACTACTCCCCTTGAGAAGCATGCATTCTACTGTAGAATATTTATGCCTACATACACACATATGTAGACATGCAACACAGGCACTACATGGAAAAAATCTAAGCAGCTGCATGCAGTGGTGGGTGATGGCTTCTTTCTATTCACTAGGCAGTGATATTTGAGCCCAGATTTGAGTGCTTTTCATAGGCGTTTTCATGAAGAAAAAGAAGACAGTAAACAAACAAAAAAGGCAGAATGCAGACTCTCAGCAAGCTCCATCTGCAGCCTGGAGAGCCAGGCAGTCTCCTGGGGGTGCAGCTGGCCTTCGGTGTGGGGCTCTCTCCGTCCTTGCTCCTGAGCATCTAGTTCCCGCCACAGATCCTTTCTCAAGCCATTCTCCTGCCATCTTTAGGCTGAATTTCAGTACTGAACTACTTTTCCCTTTCTTTTCTCTTAATCATCCTTTCAAGGAATTAGGTCTGTGCCATATTTGCTTTTGAGCACCTCAATACCCCAAACCAGAGGAAAAGATCATTTCAACCTTCTTTAACTGTCTTAGACTTCCAGGATTCTGCCTAGGGAGTACGTTTGGTGACCAAACAACGGCCACTAATTGAATATCAGCTCTCTACATCAGGTTTTTTATTAGAGCTGGGGACAAAATGAGGAACAAGACAAAAGATGTGCTTTAAGAGTGCTAAGTTCTAATTAAGAAAGGCAGGTTACGACATTGTAACATTACAAGTGAATAAATTGATACATTTCAATACCGTTAGTATAGTAGGTATGTATGGGAATTTCTTTTATACTACTTAAGCTGCTGCCCTTGGAAAACTGGTTCAAAAATATAAAATATCATATTTTCTTCTGGTGATGTAATACCCAAAATAACTGACAGGATATCCTGTCCATGTGTTGCTACATTTAAAAGCATGAATTAAATGAAATTAAAACTCCCAACACGCACTAGCCACACTGCAACTGCTCACTAGCCGTATGTGTCTAACAACTAAGATTTCTGACAGCAGAGATATGAACATGTTCCTTTCTGTTGCATAAAGTTCTGTTGAACAATACTAGTCCAGACCGCATGAGGCTGGCGGAACTCTTCCATGCACGGTAAGAACAGCAGTTACAATAATTGCATGTGTCAGGCATTTTACATACACGTAACTCACTGTATCTTCGCAGAACCCTATGAGATAGTCAGTGCTGCTAGACCCATTTTACAGTTTAGGGAGCAGACAGCAGATCTGTTGCATCTCACTCGGGTAGCAAAGCAGTAAGAACTGGCCCTGCGATCTAGTACCAAAGTCGACCCCCTTACCAAAGTATCACGGTATCTCCATAGGAGAAACTGAAGAGAATCAAAGCACTCTTAGCGTGGCGCACGGAGCGTCCGCAGCAGTAGGAGCAGCAGTAGGCAGGGGCTCCTTTTGCGGATGTCTTAGGCATCTCTCGCTTTTCAGGTCTACAGACTCTTCCATGGCAGTTCTGAGAGCTCAGAGATTCGGATGGTGCTTGGGGAGGAGGGATTCTGAAGTGTTCCGAACTGAAAAAGCATCAAGTCATTTCACAGATGAAGAAACTGAACCACGAGAAGTTTACCTGCCATACCCAGGGACCAGGCAAAATGAGGCCATTCGGTTCCCTGCGTGTGTCTCTACACACGACCCGGCTGGCTCCCACATTCTAACATGTCCCTGCTAGAATTGTTAGGAGTTTAATTTGTACTAATTTTGGGAAGGAATTCTCTTCTCCCCAGAATGTTGGCTCCGCCACTGTATTTGCATTTTCATCCACTCTATCCTCGCCTCTAGCTTTGCCTTTTTCACTCCCTCATTCTTCGTCAGCTTTACCCTCACCACAGGAATTCTCAACCTAACTACCCAGCCTAGTCTTTCCAACCCAAGGCAGCTTTAGTCCTCACACACGCTGTCGCTTTTAAGAATCGGAAAACGGCGGCGTAAGCTCCAGCTTCACTGGCGAGCGTTCCCAAGTTTCGCTCCGCGTTTCTCTGCGGGAGTTTCTTCTCCCGACCTTGCCTGGCCGCCTTCCCCGGCCTCGCCGGCCTCCGCAGCAGCGCTCCGCACCGAGCTGTGCTTTCCTCACCAACGCCAGATTAGCGGGTCCTGAGCCCACGACAGCCTCTGCGGTGCAGAGGACGAGAACGCGGCGCCGCGATAGCCTCACGCCTCCCCCAATCTCCGGGCAAGTTCGCGCCCGCTCCGGAACCCAGAGCGCAAGCCCCGCAGGCGCTGCGCAGCGGCGGGCCGGGCGCCGGGAGGAGAGGCTGGCGGGCTGCAGGCCGGGCGCCCCCTTGCCGCCGCCGGTCCCAGCATCCCGCGTCGCGGTCACAGCCCGCGAGCCCCCGCAGCGTCCCCCTCCCGCGCCGGGCGCGCGTCCCCTTCCTCCCGCGCGCACCTAGGGCGGGGCGCCCCGCCTGGCCACGCCACCCCGCCCGCGGACCCTGCGCCTCCGCCCAGCCGCGCAGGCTGGCCTGCGCCTCCGCGTCTCCCCGAGTGGGGGCAGAGCGGCGCGCGGCGGCGGGCGGCAGGCGCGGGAGCGAGGGACCTTCAAACTCCTCCTCGGCGGCTCCTCCCCGCCCGCCTGCCCTGCCGCGGAGAAAGTGGAGCGTGGCGCTCGCGCAGCGCTGTTCTCGGACGCTCCGCGGCGCAGGTCCGGCGGGCTCTCTCCGCTCGCGTCTCCCCTGCGGTCCCGCGCACCTCGGTCGAGGATGAGGAAAGGGCTGCGGGCGACAGCGGCCCGCTGCGGACTAGGACTGGGCTACGCGCTGCAGACGCTCGTGTTACCTGCCCTGGCCCTGCTCGGCGCCAGCGGCACCGGCTCCGCTGCCCAAGGTAGGGTCCGCCGCCGCCCTGCTCTCGCTCCTGCCTCCTCCTTCCTCCGCGTGGCGCTCCTCGAGGGCCACTTTAAATGCTACTTGGCCAACTAGTCAGAGAGCCGAGACCGTGCTGATCCTTAATGTGTCCCCCGAGCTGGGCCAGGGTGGATGGGGACGCGCGGGTGTGGACGCGCATCCGTCCCGGTGGCTCCCGGCGTGCGGGGCCCGGGTAGTCTACACTTTCCCTCCGCACGCGCACGGTGTTGCATGCGGTGCCCCGGGAGGCTCGGAGGGACTCGTGCGGTGAGCTGTCGTGCGCTCCGCTCTCGCGCCGTGCGGAGTCTGGGTGGCCAGCTCCCCTGAGCGCGGCACGGGCCGCGCGTCCTCGGCCACCGGGGAGGAGCCGCTGACACCAGTGCCCCGGACGCTCCTGATAGGGCGGCCGTCTGACCCGTGTCCCAGTTGCGGACCCCAAGGATGCCCGCCTCTGTGCCCTCTTTCCCGCAGGGCGACAAGGAACTTAAAAAGCCCAAGCTCTTTAGAACGGCCAGTAGTTCGAAACCAAGCCTACAACTCCCCAGCGTAGCCATCCAGTGGCAAATAACTCTTGCCATTTTGATTTAATGCATGTGAGCTTTAAAATAAGTGTCCAGGGCCCTGGGCAGAGCCCGGTTGGGAAGAGCGCAGCCGGAGTTGGAGGTGGGTAGGGCAGAGAGGCCGGAGAATGAAGGACTCTTTTTCTCACCCAGAGTTTGTAGTTGCAGCGACAGTCCCTAGCCTTCCAAGCAACAGACTGGAAGGGGATGCAAGGTTACCCCCTCGAAGTGTTTTATAACCTGGCTGGGCTCCCAACCTGGCCAGACCTAGCGCGCACCTGGCTCTTCCCGGTTCTTGGGTGATCGCTGGCTCGCGGATGCAGAGCAGCTTTTCTAGGGTAGTAGTGGTGGGAATGTTGGGCAGATGCTAATGCAGCATAGAAAGCAATAAGGGGATCTCCCCTGCGCGGGCGCGCGCGCGCGCACACACACACACACACACACACACACACACACACACACAGACACACACCTCCTTACACTTTCCGAATTTGAAGGGCTGGGGCGGAGGCGAAAGCCCCAACTCCCTGGTGATGCTGGGGGCCGCGTGGAGCTGGAGGGAGCTGAGAGGAAGGCTGGTGTGGTCGGGGTGGGAGGTAAGTGATTAGCAAGGCTTTGTCAATTAGCGATAGCTACTTCTGGAGTAAATTTTCCTGTTGCCCTGCTAAGTGGCTAGGCTCATAAATCCTTCTTTCCTTTCTGCCAGATGCCTCCCGTCCGTGAGGCTGTGCTTTGGTTTTCTTAGGAACACCTCTAGAGATATCTGTCCATTTTACAAAGGAATCTCCATTGGGAACCGTAGAATCTTGAGGATTTCTTGAGATTGGAAAGCCATGGAGGCTCGGGGCTGCAGCGGCAGAGCACTTGGGAACTTAGGGGCACAACCTGATGAACCCCGGAATCACTAGATGACTCCTTGTGGAACTGGCTTGCTGGTACTGAGTACACAAAGGACGATGCCCAGGATGGGGTGGCACTGGCTGCCGTGGAAACAGTTTGGGAGACCGGGCAGTTAAAGTCCCCAAAGGTACTAAAAGGAGATCCCCCCTCCCATGAGAGCTTACAACAGCCAAATTAAAGACTGGATAGAAAAAAGATCAATCTAGATAATCAAACAGGAGATTGTAAATGGATTAAAAGGAAAAGAGATTAAAAGAAAAGACACTCGGAAAAGAGAAACTATGTATTTGCCTCTTGCACTTTTTCTTCTTGTAGAAAGAGCAAGTCAAAGATTGGGTTTGAGGTAGAAAAAGAAACTGTTCTGTTGGTTGTGTGCATTTCAGTGGGGTGCTTCTCCATTTATTCAGTTCATTTGGTGCCACATGAATGATTTTTTTTGTTTAAGTCGTGTGTTCTTTGCAATGCACTACTGCACCATTTTTATCTTTGTTTTCTTCCATGTTGCAGGACACCATCTCTCTCTGTGGTGTCTGTTAGGTATCAGAGGAAATATGCAGCTTCTAACTCCCCTCTCAGCTACTGTTATCATGGCTGTTATCCGTTCCCAGGCCTGCCTACTGCTGAACCACTTAACACTTTCCTCTCAGAACCACACAGGGCACAGTGGTCTGAGTGGCCCATCTCCTTCCAGTCTCTGCTTCCCAGTGTATCAGTGTCCTGCCCATCCCATCAAGGAATGATGTCCATGTCCCAAAGAGTTAAAAAGCAAAGACCAGAGCATATATTCTATCGTTATGAGTAGAAACATATATGCAGTTAAAACAAATGTTCTTTACATTTTAATATGCATGAGGTTTTCAAATCTGTTGTTGGGCTCTTGGAAAAATTAGAAGCTTTTGGAAATATTTATCTCCGAAATAGGAAAGGAAGTGTCCATTTGTTTAAGACAGAACAGCAAAAAGGGTATTGAGTGAAGTGGCATGTGACTGTAGTTTAAAGACAGACAGAGGTCTTTCAAAATAGAGCCTTGGGAAATTCTCTACCCTTTAGGCAACAACTTGTTTCTTTCTGGCTATGCTCTAATTGTTTCATTCAGGACTGCTGGGAACTCCTAGCTCCAGGGAATTTGTGGTGCTTCTGACTTCCAAGAGTGATAGATTTTGCTAGTAAAGACAGTAGGGGTGTGTGTGCGTGCACTTGCACACTCTTGCTTGTGTGTGTGCGCACTAGTGTATGTTTCATCAGTGCTCCTGAGTTAGTGAAATAATATTTGTCTGTGCTACACAGCATTGAAGTTCTGCTCATCTAGCTCCAACTAGTGTTACGAGTGTTAACACATCCACATGCAGCACAGAAATTTCCAGGACTGTAATTAGATTGGGGACATTCTCTACTAGTAAGTAAATGTATAGTATTTTAAAACAACAACAACAACATACTTCTTTCTGTGAAACAATACAGAGTACTTTCACAGCTTTATATTGGTGTGGTGCAAGTTGACATTAGGTACTGAGGACAACTGAATTTCCTTACAACTTCAACACATATTTTGCCTTTTTAGGAATAAATTCATGAACCCATTTGGAAATTTGCAAATAAAAAGTTGGTCAGTTTTTTTAATTTATTTACAAATATGTGTTATAGCTTAGAAAATGCTTAAAGTCTAAAAAAAAAACCTGTACAAGCCATTGGGAAAAAAAAGAGGAATCATTAAATTACAACAGATATTTATTGATCTCTTAGCCTCTTTGGATTTTTGGGGTTCAGAGGTACACAAGACAGGGTTCTGGAGGTATTTTCCATTGTACTTTGAGAAGTGGTTATAATCAGAATTCACAGTAATGTTTTAAACAAGCTCCCTAAGGATGGGAAGGAAACATGAATTCTGCTAGGCAAACCCTCTTAGCTTACATGAATTTATTTAAATGTAACAGCTCTCTAACGTGAGCTAGGTTCTCTGTTTAGTGCAACAGCCCGAGCATCCTCTAGTAGGCCTTAACTGCATTCAGCACTTTCCAGATTTAGGTCATGGCTTTGCTGGAGCAGCAGAGGGAGTCTCTCAGAGGCACTAACATTGCACTGCACCCACTTCCGGAAGAGCTGGAGGAAAGAGAGGGGGTGGAGACCAGCCCTGGCTCTTGCCTTCCAATTTCAGCCTACACTTTTTTGGTTTGACTTTTGTATTTGTTGCAGTTAAAAAGAAAACACACTGGTTCACATTTTCCTACAAATTGCAAACTCACCAGATCGTTTGGCTAAGTGTGGTATTATTGGTAAATGGCACGGTATGTAGTTTATTAAGGTCATAGAATTGAATGAGTCAGCTCCAGCTGTGGCAAAGACAGACCTACAAGTAAGCACACAGTATGTAATTCACTTTGTGAAATATAGCAATAAGCAGATCTATAGTACTTTCTGGATTTAAATATTCAAGATAGTAATCACGGTCATATCAAAGTTCTGATGTGAGTGGTGGTTGGGGTTCCAGAATTTCTACAGAAAGGAATTTGAGGGCTATGATTTGGCTAGGGACTGGTTGAAACTAAGTTTGCATTTCAACAGTATATGCTGAGGTTTAGTATATAATTTGCCTTGCTTTAGAGAGGTACAAGCAGAGGCCTGGTGGCAGCAGAGGCCTATTCTATCAGGTAGCACAGTGGCTACCATTGCCTCCTAATTTTGTTTCCAGTACCTCCCTTCGGTGAGGCCATGCAGAAGATAGTTAGCCTCTTTTGCCAGTTTCCTGGCATGTAAAGTGAAAATGATGCATACTTGGAGGGTCATAATAGGATTGAATATGTTAACTACATGTAAACCAACTATAGAGCAGTATTTTACTTCCAGGATATAAATATTGTTTCTTGTTATAAACTCTATAAAACACTGATAAGTTTGAGATATTAAAAAAAAGAAAACAAAAAACCAAGTCAGTACTTTTAACTCAAACTGAGGATAACTGTAGGTGCTGTTTCCCCAAAACCAGCAATGGAGTTAGCTGTCCAGAGGTTCCAAAATCCTGCATAGAACAAGTTCTGCCTCAGCCTAAGAAGGGCTCGCCTCCTCTCTGAGCCTCTTCTCTCCTTTTCTAGTCTCTCTGGGAAAGGGAACCTGATACGGTACTAAACAGGCTATTGTCAAGTCAGTGTTAGTTCAGTCTTGACAACAATCCATATTCTTGATTTTCTATATTTACAAGTAACATTGAAGATAATTTTTATGAATTTAAAAAGGTTTCTAACAAAAAACCATGTCTCAAGTGTTTCTGGTAAGAGTTTGAGGAAAATGGGCCCTTTAAGGGGTTGTCAGCGAGGTAAGAATATAATTGAACACATGTTAAAATGGCATAAAAAATACAGAAAATGTAGGTTGATGTGAAAGCGAAGCAAATTCGCCAGGGCTTCCATTTATTCAAATTATATCCTCAAAAGAAAATTTGGGAATCATAATTTAGAATAGCCTAGGTAATCTAGGTAATATATAATAATATAAATAGTATATCTTGAAGTGTTCAACACTTAAT